ATACAAATACAATTAACATGGAGCCACCTACGNTCCCTCACTCTGTTCATCGCCCTCTATCTGCCAGCAGCTATATAGGGCTCATCTCTCGCAAAGTTATTACGTCACAATCTTCCATTATTGACAAGACGCGCTTACGTACAATTTCCCTCACGCCATGTAAATTACTATTTATGTTAAATCATCAAGTTATCTTAAATTCCTTAGACACATTTATTCTTTGAATAATACTTTCTTATAATTTCCAACAACGTGTACTATTGCACTACATTGGTACCAAAACCGATGTTAGTCAATAAAAACGCGCAGATATGAACTAATTAAAGGACTAAATAGGAATCCCGACGACTAGTTCAAGGCGGTAATTGGGCGTGGAACTAACGTCTTACAATACATCACCGATTCTTCTGGTTACTCAGTGATCAGCGTTCGACAGGCCCCCGGAGTCCGCCCGTACGTGGCACAAAACGGAGTAATCAAGCGCGTGTTTTAAGCGGATGGAAGGGTTTTTCATCGCACGCTGTTCTTAGGAGATCATGTCACTCGCGGTGGGATTGCCAATACTAAATCATACACACACGCGCGCACGCACGCACGCACGCACGCACGCACGCACGCACACACACACACACACACGACTTCAATCACAACAGAAACGTAATTTGTACGCCATCCGCCTGATCTTTCGACTGTAGCAATTTACCTGCCTATTTATAAGAAAGAAATACGTATAGGCCTACTAGTGCAGCGGATAAGCACATAAAATTTGGCACATTGTGCTCTTTTGGTTAGAATTGTGAAACTTTGCACACGCGTACTACATGAGGTCCTGAAGATTTTCTGATATAGTGCCAATTGAACTGGCACGTTAACATATATTGCGTTATACCACTCTTCGGGTTTTGGCTATAATTTCAACGATACTCATAAAATTCAGTCAGAAATAGCTCAAATAATGCGCAGGTATCTATACTAATACTATAGCAGTAGTGTTACATATATCACTATAATTGTAATTCCTTGTGCAAATGCGTTATTTTCATCCTAATATTAAAGTTACGAGAGGGTTTGGGATCTTGGAAAATTTTCTAGGATTATTCATTCTCGTAACTTTATGTATGCATTAACCCGCCTGGCGCACTATATACGCTACCATATAATACGCCACCACGTTAGTTAAGTTAAATCCCTTCCCCAAACTCCACGACAGATGGCGCTCTGGCTCAATTGTATTGGTATCCTGAGTTGTACGAAGGGGGCACTGCATGCAGTTTGTCCCTTCCCGTGCCTATGTGGCGCATATGGCGGTGCCTATCTCCGTTTCCTTAAGCTAAAGTCACACCAAGCTCCCGGACCGGGCCGGACGCTGCCGGACTGATCCGGGGAGAGATCCTTGTTGGGTCCTGGACGGTCCTGGACGGTCCTGGACGGTCCTGG